AAGCAAAATCCTCGTAAATTTTCGAAGTAAAGTCCTCGTAAGTAATTCTAGTAAGTTCCTCGTAATTAATTACTACGAGCTTACGAGGAAAAGCTAACTACGAGCTTACGAGGAAACCCTACGAGGACCTTACGAGGAAAATCTAACCACGCTTTTACGAGGAAAAGTTTTCTCGTATTTTAGCTAGTACCTTACAAGAAAAAAGGCTTTACGATGAACGTGTTTCGACGAAACGCGTTTCCTCGTAAGTTCCTAGTAAATGGTCATTTACTAGGAAATAACGAGGAAAACCCGTCCTAGTAATGGACGAGTTTTCTTGTAGTGATAAGAGTTATTCATGCTCTTATTATAAAGTTATTTTTACGATTTTATTTATTGTCATATGTATTCACATGTTTTAGTCACATAAAAGATTAGTAATTTTGCTCAAATAACACTTTAAGTATGGTATACTTCAGCATCAAACATATATCAACATCTTAATATAAGGACCCTTAAGATAACATCTCATTTTTAGATATTCAGTTTGGAATACATAAACATATTTGGTCGAATAGCTAGAGTTTACAGGAACATGACTTTAATATCATCAATCCTTCATGGATTTTATATTTTAGAGGTTATCATTTCTAGTGGATCATATAATTCAAGTTCTTTATTTATTGCCAGACCGATAAGAAACTTGAATGTAGTTGTATCTACCACATGAGACTATGCATTTTCATAATCAATTTCTTATTGATTTTTCTTTAGTGCAACGACTCATTTCTATTCCACTTGTTTTACACTTTTTGTGTATGGACTACTGGTCCAAATATTTATCTCTTTCATAATAGTTAATATATATGCCTATTGCTTCTTTTTTTTTTTGGACAGTTAATATCTTTGCCTATTGCTTCTTTCTTTCATAACAATTAATATGTTTGCCTATTACACATGCCTATTGCTTCTTTCTAATTTCCCAACCATTTCTTTGTATACACTTTACAATAAACTTTCTTTCATGATCCTCTTTACCATTTATCATGTCAACTGCTACTTTGCATGCATATAACCATCGACGTCGATTTGCTTATCGATTCCATTTTATTTCATACATGACTTAACTTTATTGAGATCTCTTCATTGTCTGAGGTACTTGAATTTATTTCCATCATGTTTAATGTGTCTTCTGAAGATCATTCACAATGTATGTTCCTTTTCATTTACGAGGATTCTTATGTTTGGAACCAAGATGTTTACAACGCTTCAGACGTTTTTAACAGTTTGATATTGTTCTTCTAGAATATCAATCATTCTTGGAGCATTTACAACTGGTATATGTGACTTGATAACTTTATTTATACGGGTCAGTAAATGTGTCTGGCAACTGCTTTACTAAGCTTTATCACTGAGTTATCTTTTGGACTTCTATTTCACATTGTGTTTAGTCCAAGGATCAATGATAACTCATTTTAACTTATTTTATTTTCCAGCTATTTATTTTCTTTCTCTTATGTTGGAAATACTAATTCACGTTTAGTATTCATATCAAGCCTTACTTATATCTTTAAAGGATGGTCCTATATTCTTAAGTACCAATGGAGATTCATATTCAACATATATTTCCAACCTCATTTGAAAACCCATCTTAATTAAAGCTATGTGGTGGAGGAATTGGAATGTATATCGCACATCCAACATTCTTAGATGGAAAATGGTTGGTGTCTGACCCAATACCGGGGAAAACTATTGATTACTTGTCGGTGTGATGCGAATTAGAGTTGTTCAAAATGTTTAACACTTATCTAACTGAATTTTACTATAGTTGTTAAAGACTTTAAGAAGTGAATTCACCAATATTGTAAAGATGCATGGTGGGTGATCAGTCCATCAACATCTCTTTTATTCATGCCAATAACTTCATTTTCCTAACTATATTATTCTTTTATCTTGTGAGCAAACATCAAATGTCAAATCATTTGAATGAATCTTCTGGTTCTGGTTCTTCAATAACTATTAACATAAATTTTTAAATATCTTTTCGCATCATTACTGAACAAAATGATCTAACTGATTCATGCCAAGTACTTTGTAAACTTCTAGTTTACTATATTTTTATCTCCATTATACATTTATAAGAGGATATAGATGCACTCTAAAATACTTTTAGAGCTTAGAGAAGTATGTATATAGCATATGTCTTGTTTATCGAGATGATAACATGTTATAAGTAAAAAGAAGAATAGGAGAATTTGTGTGTCTTATTCATGAGTAAAGAAATCATTTATATAGGATTACAATAGCTTGGAGACCAAGTAGAACTTGGAGACCAAGTAGAACTTGGAGAACAAGTAAAGTTGGGAATAAAGTAAATGTAGAACATTTCATAATAGACATCACTAATATATTCATAAAAGATTATGAATAATACATATTTGATAACAATTTTTGTAACATTTCTCTTTTTTTTTGTTTAATTTTATATTATTAAAAATAGTTGAACAATCACATTAAGCATATAATAAAACTTAGATTTTTTCTTATAGGTTATATTTAGAAATTTTTGAAACGACTCTAAATTACTAAAAATGGTAAAACTTCCACACTAAAATTTTTTTGATCAATGGTTTAACTTTTTTTTGTTCAAGTAAGATATAAATGATTGCGTATAAATTTGAAGTGTCATTAACATATATTCATATTATATATATATATATATATATATATATATATATATATATATATATATATATATATATATATATATATCAGTATCATTTAAATTAAATTATATACTACATAAAATATATAAATATGTTAATTTCAAATTTTAAAGTGAAAATTTATTGATAGTTTAATATATTAATTTTGAAATTCGTATTGGAACAATCTCAAATTAAATTTTTTGTGATTTATTTAAATATTTGTTAGAGCAAAATATACAAATGTTTATAAAATCATATGAGTTGGAATGCCAATTAAAAATAGAAATTAAATATAATATATATATATATATATATATATATATATATATATATATATATATGTCAATATCAATAACATTTAATTATATACAACATAAAGTACACTAAATGGTTGTTTTTATTTATTTACCAAAAACATGATTGTAAATTAACAAAAGTTATTAATTTTAATTTATGTGCTTACTCTAATGTACATACTTTTATGTATACAATATGTTATTTGATCCTGACAATCCGTGAATTACACTTTTTCAAATCGAAGTGATTTTTAATACTGGAAGCACTATATATATATATATATATATATATATATTTCATTCAAATTAAATAATTTAATCTTGATATTTATTCCTAAGATGTTTTTAATGAAATATCATGACAAATCTAATCACATCCTTTTAAGTTTATTCGAAGAATGAGAGATTTGATCATTCGTCTAATATTTATTTCTCCATAATACCCAATGTAGCTGTTATAATTTATCCGAACAAGACTTATGATCTTATTACTTTGAGATTTGATGATAATCTGAATCGAAATCCGAACTAGGTTCGAAGATAGCTGAAATTAGTATAATATGTTAATATTTTTAAAAATATCACGGTAATTTAGATATTTTATTGAATTCAAAAGATTTTTGTAGTTTGTTTTATTTTTTTTATTTTGAATATCATTTAGTTAATTTATATAGTTTAACTAATTTTAAATTAGATTCATGAACAACTTTATTGCCAATTTTGAGGTTTCAAAAATATTTTTTCAAATTTTGGTTACAGTCTAATCCAAACCAAATTTGGAAAGAACGATAATTAGTAAAACTTGAATGGGTCTTGAAGACATAATATAGTGAAACTTCTATAGTTAATAATGTTGGGACTACATCAAAACTATAATTTTTTATTAATTTATAGAAATTATTAATTTATTAATATACTAATTGAATAAAAAATTCAATTTGAAATTATAAAATTATATTACTTTATAGAATTTTTAGTGCATATTAATTTATAGAATCTTAATTTAAAAAAGTTATACTGTACCAAAAATTTGAAAATCTGAATCAATCGAATCAAAACCAACTAGGCATGTTCAATCTGGTATTCGGTCCAGTTTCGATTCGGTTTTTTCGATTTTCGGTTATTCGGTTCATAAAAATTAGCTACCATATTGGAACCATATTTAATTTGGTTTGGTTCGGTATTTATACTACCGGTTTTCGGTTTATTCGGTTTTATACCAAATAACATTATTATTTGATTTGGTTTCATATTATATGAATTTTTTTTTAAAAACATATTGTCAAAACTATCATTTATTAAAATAAGCCTAGGTGTTCATAAATATAAAAATGTGAAATTAACAACAACAAAAAACGATCAACGATTCAGTTTTGTATGGCTTTTCTTATTTTCTCTTTGTTCTTCCAAATAAATTACATGGTACAATCTAATTTCACAATTTCTTACAACATGTAAAATCAAATCAAATTTAGATAATAGTTGAAGAAAATAAAATAAAATTATTAAGATATATCTTCACAAGGTATAAAAAATAAAAATAAAAAGACTATTCCAAGAAAATAAATGGTTATATAATNTTTTCTCTTTGTTCTTCCAAATAAATTACATGGTACAATCTAATTTCACAATTTCTTACAACATGTAAAATCAAATCAAATTTAGATAATAGTTGAAGAAAATAAAATAAAATTATTAAGATATATCTTCACAAGGTATAAAAAATAAAAATAAAAAGACTATTCCAAGAAAATAAATGGTTATATAATGTATATATTTTCTTTGATCGGTTTTGTTCGGTTTATTCGGTTTAATCGGTTATAAACCTAACCAAATCCAAATCCTATGGTTTTTATAAAATCACATCCATTCAGTTTATATGGTATATACCAAATCCAAACCATATTGTCTATTTCGGTTTGGTTCGGTTCGATACGGTTCGGTATCACCATATTGAACAGCCCTAAAACCGACGAATCTTCAAATACCAGACATATGATATATTTAAGAGATCAATATTTGTATCCATTATTTTACAATCGATAAAGAATATAGTATTACAAAATGTTCAAATCGAACCAACATTAATATAAAAATCTAATTATTAGGAAAGAACAAAAGATAAGACTTCCCTTGCAAGAGAGAATCTTTGTTTTAGTGAATGGGGTCCATCCTAAAAAGTCACTGTTTGCATAAATAGAATACACGAGGACCATATTTTGCCTATGTGAGTTTTCGTTAAAAAATATTTACAAACTCATAGCTTCTAACCTCTTGCCTTTGTGCTCGTAGAGTTCCTTGCATTTCTTATGTGATCGATGCTCACCCTTCTTCATGCCGGACAGTCAAATACGTCTCTTTTTTCATACATTCCTCTGTTCCTGAGTTACCTGCATTGCGAGGTATTACAACTCAAATTTGTACGATGTAAGAAACAATGAAAGATTGTTTGTGCGTTTTGTTCTGGCCAACTGATACTTATATATCTTTAAAACTGAACAGCTTGGTTTACCATTAGACACCAGAAAATGGGAACGATATATAAGCTACATGACTCAAAGAAACCCTATTAATAAGAATGCATATTTCGAGGGTTATACTTAAAAACGTATTTAATTTTAAGAGTTCAAAGTTGTTTCTAAACTCTTACCGCCAAACAGTACTTTATCATCTAGCTTTGCATAGCATTTCAGACATAACAGAACCAAATTCAATCAGGTCGTAAAAACAATCAAACTAATGGATTTCAAAAGACATAATTAATGAACCAAGAAATGTGATTTGATATAAGTAGACAGAAATTTCACCTCAAGTGTCGAGATCATAAGGAGGTTGATGAAGAAAGCTTATCAGCAACATATTAGCGCTGATTATGATGATGATGATGATGGCAGAGCGCAAAACCTTCTGGCGGATCCCTATGATATGCAGAATCTTTAGCTTGGAGTGAGGGATACGTGAAAAAAGCCTGTATCCATTCGCCATTCTCAATGCTGGGATGAAGCAAATGAGGTATCTCTCTACTCAAAATTTCGAATTCGAGACATACCAAAGTGCCAGTGATCCCATGACCACTGAAACAGATGAATTTGCAAGACAAAACAACTATAAGAGAGAAACAGCATTTTTGCATCTCCCGGATGGCGCATAGCCACGGCTCAACATTTCTTTAATAAGCTCAGCTGATACGGTTATGTCACCATCTCTAATACATAGCGTACCATCATTGAGCATAAGCCCATCTCCTTTCATCTTTGTATACAATTCATCTATTTCACAGTGTAGGCCTTTCCTACACAAGCCTGACATCATTGTAGTGTACGTTACAACATCAGGCTTCACTCCTTTGAGTCTGAGGCTACAAAATAAACCCCAAGCGTCTTCAACCTTACCAGTCTCGCACATCCCTCGGATAATTATAGTATACGTGACAATATCAAGATCCATTTCTCTCTTTTGCATATCTTCAAATATCTCCAACGCTTTCTCTAGCTCCCCGTTGTCACAAAGACCACCTAACAAAATGTTATACGTCCACATATCGGGCGATACACCAAAAGAATCCATCTTACTAAAAAACTCCTGAGCCATATCAACATCTCCTGCTTGAAAAAACCCTTGGATAAGAGTGTTGTAAGTGACTGTACTACTAACTAACCCCCTTTGTGACATGTCACGGAAGAGTCTCATCCCATCCTCTACTCTCCTTGACTTACAAAACCCATTAATAAGAGTGTTGTAACTCACCACATCAGGGAAACAACCTTTCCTTACCATCAAATCAAACATCTCACTAGCCTCATCTATCCGATCCTGCATACAAAGCCCATTTATCAACGAACTATAAGTAACAACATCAGGATCTATACACATCCTTATCATCTCCTCAAACAACTCCTTAGCCTCCAAAACCTTGCCGTTCTTCACAAACGCATCAACCAACGCACTATAAGTAACCACATTAGGACTAACCTTCCTCTTAATCATCTCACTCAACAACCTAGCGGCATCACCCCATCTACCAGAATTACAAAGACCCTTAACCAAACAAGTATAAGTAACAACATTAGGTCTAACACCTCTCCTCTCAACAACCCCCTTGAAGAAACACAAAGCTTCATTAGCTCGTCTCCTCTTGCACAAACCATCAATAACCGTGTTGTAAGCAACAATGTCAACTCCATACCCTAACTCAACAACCTTCTCAATAAACGACACAGCTTCATTAACCCTGTTCTTCCGACAGAACCCATTAACAAGAGACCCAAGCGTGACCTTATCCGGCACAAACCCAAGCTTCAACATCTTCCCGAGAAGAGATAAAGCGAGAGAGAGCTGAAAACAGCTACATAAACAGTTAATCAAGATATTAAAAGTGTAGAGATCGTTTCGAATCCCTAAAGTCTCCATCTTTCTCCCCAGAGAGATGACGAGATCGTACTTTTTTAGCTTCACGACGGCGTTTAACAGTCTGTTGAAATCGAGGGTTGAAGGGAAAGGAGGGGATTTAACCATGTGGTTGAATAAATCGATTGCGTCGTCGAGGTTGATGTTGCGGAGGTGGGTTTTGGTTAGTCTCTCTCGGAGATCAATCACGGTGGAGAATGCTCGGGTTAAGAGAGAGGAATGTGTGAAGGGAGGGAGAGGTGTTGTTCTGGGGAGATTCCGATGAAGCAATCTCTTCGCCGTCATCGCAATCATCGTTTCCGGGTTTTTGTTTTGTTTCCGTTCTCTCTGATTCAGAATCCTAAAACGAGTCAGATGGGAATGGTAACCGAAACCTTGACCGGTTTGATTCCGGTTTATATGTTCGTATCAAACCGAAAATACTATCGAATCTAGTCGCCTGTGACTTGCATGAGCGAGTGGTTAACGAAATAGGTTTTGCGTGAAACTTCAGGTTGTTTTTAAATATTTAGTTTCTTACTGAATGAAATTGGTTTGTGATTTTATGATCTATGTCGGTTCGGTTCAAAACTCGGTAGTTTCAGCTTCTGGTTTAGTAATATTTGTCATGCTGTCGAAATGTCGATGGTGTCTCAGAGTGCTCACCAAATGAAACGGATTCAAATCTCGCTAGCCCAAAATAGAATATGATTACGAAATGGATTTGTTGCTTTAAACATGAGATTAGCCCTGTGAGTTTGGTTTCCCGAAACTGAACCGAACCGAACCGTCGGTTTTCGGTTAACCAAAAAATTGAAAAGAAATTCCAAAATTAACCGAAATTAAATTCAGTTTGGAAGTCGGTTATGTTTGGTTTTCATTTTATTTCAGAAATTAACCGATGATTACAAAATGGATTTGTTGCTTTAAACATGAGATTAGCCCTGTGAGTTCGATTTCCCGAAACTGAACCGAACCGAACCGTCGGTTTTCGGTTAACCAAAAAATTGAAAAGAAATTCCAAAATTAACCGAAATTAAATTCAGTTTGGAAGTCGGTTATGTTTGGTTTTCATTTTATTTCAGAAATTAACCGATTTCTTATAATATTTACGGAAACCCCCAATGTTTTCAGTTACACTCGGTTATTATCGGTTAAATCGAGTATTTTTCGATTTCTCTTGAAAAATCCAAATTTATCAGTAAAAATAAACATAGTCAGCAAAACCAACATGTAATTTTTCATCTTTCTGCAATCTAACAAAAGAAAGGTCCAATCTTTTAAATCTATCTCTTTGCAATACACACTTCAAAGAAACATAATGCATATAATTCCAGAAACGTCTCATAATATCCAACAAAGCAGAAAGAGTAAATAAACAAAAATATAGGAAAATAAATGTCACCATGAGGCTTGCACTGAAACCTGCAACTTGTTGAAGTGAAAAATTCAGTGACAAAAACAAAACAATGCACAAAAGACACTAAACCCAGTTAAGCAACAGAAGAACATTACCTCTAATTCTAAGATTCTCATGAAATTTGCTGAGTACCTACACAATGAAAAATAAAGACAGTAACAATCAGCATTGAGAATATATGAAATATTAAAGCAAGAAGCCAACAGATTACCTAATGACTCCTGATTCAGTGCCTTCTCTTAGTAGTTCATCAGTATCTTCAAAGCCTCACATCTATATAATAAGATAGAAGAAACCAAGTCCAAGAGAAAGGGAGTATCAACCGACAAACACAAGACACTCACTAATTGACTAAACCCTCGGCATGAACCCACCCTAAATGTCTAAATATCAAATCCATCCCAACTCCTTATTTAAGACACTCTCACACTGATAACTGTTTCATCTTTCAAGCCGAATAATAATCCCATGATTGATTTCGATAGAAACCCTTAACACCCAAACCAATCGCAAACTTAAACCCTAAACCAAATATCGATAAACAAACCCTAAGAGACACTGTCAACTTAGTAATCAGTTCATCATTCGACCAAAAACATAAACCCCTAACTGATTTTGACAGAAACCTTAACTCCCAAATCGATCGCAAACACGAAACCAAACCCAAGAAGTACACAGAATTACATAAGTGAGTGAAGAACCTACCTTGGAGTCGGAAATATGTGAGAATCAGACGAAGAAGAAGAGATTACTAGGGTTTAGAACTGACGAAGCGAAGGCACGGGTTTGAGAGAGAGAGAGAGAGAGAGAGAGAGACTGAATATGTTTCTTAGGTTGAGCCGACAGACAAGGTTAATAAGAGGTATATATAGGTAGGTTAAATTTTGGTTAACCGATCGGACATCATGAACCGAACCGAACAGAGACACTAACCAATAATTTTTAAAACATCTTCCGATCTGTTTGTTCTTGATAACCGATCAATAACCGAATTCTACAATGTTTGGATTGGTTCGGTTCGGACCATTCAGCTCGGTTTAGAATCCCATGCCTACATGAGATCGTATACTCCAGTTTCATCTTTACTCTAACAACTAGATTCTGACCCGTCCTTCGAAAGGACGGGTATATTTGTTTGTTTTAATTTTATGATTTTTTTTTATATTTGTCTTTTTTAATCATATTTGTGTTTAAAATTAATTTAATTTAATATAATTTTGATAACTATATTAAATATGTCAAGTTGCGTAACTATACATTTGTGCCATATACATTTCTAAAATTACTTTTGAACTTTGTTCCTAAAGTTTGCAACATATTATATTTTCTTAGTAGTTGCCTAATATAATTAGTCAAGTATATTTGTTCATAAAAAATCCCGATTTGGAATCGACGCGAAAATCAAGATCTCATACTTCATTAGACCTGACCTATATATTCGAATGGTTCTTAAAGTGTTATATTTGAAAATCGAATCACACCAGAAACCGAACAAAACTTTTTAAAAATGTTTGAAAAAACAAATTTTAATATTTTCTATTATATATATATGGGTTAACATGTTTTTCACTAACTCTAAGTAAAATCACATTTAATGAATAATTTTTAATCCAATAACCTATTTAAAACCCGTTAAACTAAATGAGTTTGTATGAAAGTTTATTTCTATTAAAAATCCACTTAAACCAAGTTAAACCCTATTTTAACATTATATGCTTTGTTAATTGATAAACTTAATGTTTGTCTGAAAAATTTAAAATATGAATAAATTAATATCTGGTTGAATAAATCTTATTTCTTGGGCTGAGATGTAAGTTATGTTGTTGGAGTGTGATAATGATTTTTAAAAAATATATCTGAGTTTATTATAATTAAATATTATACTCTAATAGTTGGTGAAAAATATTATATATTTTCTTTCATAACATTAGGGGTGAAAATAAAAAATGAAACTACTATAAGTGTTTATTTCGTATTTTTGACCCTTATTATGAGTAATAATTAACATGTCATAAAAGATATGTCAATATTGTAACTATATACATAATTATGTAAAATAACGTGTTATATTAATCAAATAAAAGGTTAAAATTCAAAAAAGAAAAAGATTTAAATTATTGAATAACATAAAAGAATAGAACAAAAATGGGTAGAATACATAGAAAGGAGTAAATGTAATTTTGGTATAAACCCAGATTAGTATAAGTGAGAGTAATGGGTCCCTAAAATATAGGAAGTTAGAGGAAGTTATAATAAACTGAAAATTACGTAATATATATATTTATATGTGATTAATGACAGTTAGTTAGTAAAAAGTAAGAAATATAATTGGACATAATATTTATTAATTGGTCATGATCCTTTTTTAATAGTATTGATATTGACAATATAGTATCAATCTTTTTTTCCAAATGAATAACATATTTTGGTTCCATACATATAAATATGATAAGTTTAAGTTTAAACACAGATATGATTACTTGTGATGTTGCTTGTGTGATTGGTTGTTAAGATGTTTGTGATGAATGATGATGAAAGTTAGGTTGCTAGAAATAAGTGCACATTTAGGTTACTAGTGGATTATGATTGAAAGTAAGTTACAATTGGTATGATATTACGACTGGTTATAATTGGTATTATTAATGTTTGTATGGTTGTAATGTGAAGTATGTTTGTACCACCGAGAACAGATGGCGTCAAATGAATGTGTAAGCTCAAAGTTAGGATTAATAAGAATGAGAATGAGAATGAGAATGAGAATGAAAATGATAATGAGAATGTGAATGAGTTAATGTGATAGATGTTTTGTTTGGAATACTGAGAACGGGTGTACGTCTAGTGTGTGATGTGATGAGTATCTGCGAGATAGTAACTTAACAGGATGTATCCGTGGGAAGTTAAGTGATAAGACTGTGAATGGACGGTGACCGCGAAATGTAAAATAGAAAATATAAAAAGATCGTATAAATTTGGTGACTGTGGAATACAGTATATAAAATGTGAAAGGTGTCATAAGAACAAATCATATCAAATTGTGGCATAAATATGACTATTAGGACCGAAATGACAGACATAACCAGAGATGGAGCCAACGAGCTACAACTTAGATAGTCACTTAGAAAACTAGAAAACAGTGGTTCACGTAAGATTTCTTGGGATTGGCCGACTTCATTGAGTAATGTGGAATTGAATCAAATCTATAGTATAGCAATTACCCAATTCATTGTATTGTTTGATCACAAGGTTGATAGAAAAGTACGGAAATGATGATGTTATGTACATTTGATTGTTTGATTATAGTGGTTAGCCGACTTTTGTTTCGCATTACACAATATAAAGTATTATACGAAGAGACTAGACTGGTCTAAAACCGTTTCAATGAATATTTCATTTTATTTTTTTTTGATCAATGAATATTTCATTTACTTTCGGTTATACGTCCGATCTTTCCGATCGGTCAGACAGCAGAAGATCGGACAGTACAAATTCGATTATGAGTAGACCCCAAAAAAGACGATAATTCGATTGTCAAGAACATCTATTTGATATGTCCATAAAACGTTTTCGTCCTTCTTTTGCATACATGATTCATAGTTAACACATTATTTGGAAAGGAACTACCAAACCGAGGAAGTAATACCTTATTGGTACGCGTTTTCCGTATTTACATACAACTATCCTAGCAAAGGAAAAACAGTTCTTTTATTTTGAGACCACCTAGACATGATTACTCGAAACACTTCAACACGAAGATCATGACAACGCTCAGAATCTTTCAAGCGCTATACCCCACAATAGACGGGTGTGACATGAAGCGAACCTCATAACCACCGCATGCAGCAGTGGAAGCTTCCTCCATCAGCTCCTTGGAGACACCGTTGTTACAAATGTTTGCAAACGCTCTCATATGTTTCATCCCGTATTGCGTTAGTGATCCACAATGATTTTCAAATACACGTACCTACGAAATTTTAAGTGCATTTTATTAGCTAATCCTAAAACCATTATTGTGAGTTAAATAAACCTGACTAAAACTATAAAGTATGTACAAGAAATTTTTTTTTAAGGGAGTGCGAAACTCATACCACTGACTTGAGACATTCCCAATCGTCGACCAATGGCAAACCTGGTTCTCTGACTGAGTTAAGAACATTCATCGTAGGACCAAACAGAACCATGCTTATCAGTTCCACACTTGTGTCTAAATGCTTTCTGTGCCTTGTTGTCTCGGTTAATTCCTTCATTATCTCAACCTTCCTTGACCCATCTTCCGATGTTCGATACTGTAAACCCAAAGCCAATATGGTTTAAACAAAATTCTTTTCACAGTCGTCTATTTAGATTTAGCAAAATAGATTAGACCAATACCAAGTGCCAAAGGAATAGGAGGTCTGCGTCGCGTTGGTTAACAACTCCCACAGGTGACTTCACTGGTAACTCGTTAGGAGGGAGATTAACAGTGGCTGGATCGAATCCTTGGTATAGATAAAGCCTCTCCGACTTTATACTGTTATTACCGTATTCCATCACATGGGAGCCTTCGGAATAGGTATTGTAGTTTGATGTCCGCATCTTCACCTACACACCGGTATAGAAGACTCGCTATACAGTTCTACATTCTCAAACCAACCATTGATTAAACGGGTAAAGACTAAAATTTCATGTACCGTTTGGTATTGTTGCTTTACAGTCTCTTTCTTTAAATTGTGTGTCTCACTGCATACGAACCACAACAAATAAACAAAAAGATAGATGTGCACATAAAAGTATTTCATAATAAATTGCATATAATATACATACCTGTCTTCCATCCAAGCAACGCTATACAAATCTCCTAAGCAAGTGATGTATTCGGATGGGGGAGATGGATTCATGCCGGGACAATAGGTTCCGTAACTACTCTCTTGTGCATTTGAAGCCGTTGTTACGTAAATGTTCAAGTCCTTAGGCATTATCCCCTCGAATATACTCCCGCTTTCACATGCTTCTACGTATATAACCTACCATTACATTATCACCATTATAACCATCATATTCAAGAAATCAATTGTTTCACTAGATTTTACCATCTCTTTGTATGTTCCGGCCGCATGTTTCTTCTTAAGTGTTTCAATAAAATCAGCAGCATAAAGGTAAGGCTTGTTTGGCATCCCTGACAACCGACAAATTAAATGAATAACAGACCATTAAAAACAATCCATTACAAGCATAACCCTTATAAAGTTTTCTTGAACACCCTAAGAGGTTAGTGAAGTTACCAAGAACTCCGGGACCACCATGATCAGAGTAATATACAAAAATGTGATCGTCGGCCTTGCTCGCGATGACCTTACCGCTTCCACCTGTAACAGCCTCCTTGTCGCCTAGGAGTACCGCGTAGAAATTAGCGGCCGTAACGTCATGACCGGTATAATCCTGAAAAGACATTTTCGAATGAGTAAATAATGGAATAACTACTAGAAAAAGGAAAACATTTAGTGGTTGTGATTAATCTAGGAGGGGTACCAATCAAAGGTCCACACACAAAGTTTGGTTTGCCACACCAAATGTCTATAAAGTCACTATCACTATTAATGGTTGGGTACTATCTAAGTCACCATCTCTTACACGATACATCCAAAAGTATATTAGGAAGTTTAAAAACCGGAGTGTCACAGACAAAAAGAAAGTATAATTCAAATAAGATTCGAAGAAAGTAACTCTCGATATCCAAAACAACATAAAAATAAAGATCTAAAACATGGTTAGACGCTAATATCGATTATAAAATGACATACTTGACTAGTAATGCTGTCAAATACCAAACCAGAACACAGCTAAATCATGGATTAAAGGTACGTTAATTATACCTTGGGCACTCCTGCGTAAACATCTTCCCCATCAGGATGGTTGATTAGAGTACCGGGACGAGGGTTAAGTGGGTGGTTTGCGATATCATCATACATCATGACGACTATGTTCTCTTCTTTCAAACCTCCCTTTCTCAGTATTTGATATGCGTGACAGACGTCGGCCTAAAATACAGAAACAAGTAAACACAATAAATAAATATTTTATTAATAAAAACACAGCGAGTAGTATGAAAAAACTAGACTTTTATACATGTGAAAAAAAACAGAACAAGTTTAAGAAATGGAGAAGGTCACCATATGTTCTTTTAGTTTTTAGGAAAAACCCTGAAGGTTTGTACAATTTCATTAGATATTAATTTCTAGTTTCATTTGTATATAAAATTAGAGTATAAAGAATTTTTTGCATATCATAAGAATATTTATAATTCCCATTTTAAAAAGGAAATCCTGAAGCAAAATAGTTACATTGACGAATAGTTTTAATAAAGAACTGAAAACACCGATTAAAATAAATCGGTACCTGGTGCCTGTAGTTTCCATAACCGGAAGAACCGGCGATAAGAACCGCCCATCTAGTACCGATAGTGTCTTCTTGCTCAGTTGATTTAGCTTTTTCTGTCGGCATAAGAATTTTCGGCTCAAACCGACCGCGTGACTCGGTGCGGACCATTAGAAGTAACAGAAGAAGAAGAGCTGGTCTGAAACAATAGAACTTAGCCATGGGAGAGAGACGGGAGAGAAAAAGAAAAGCGATACTATGGAGGACTAAAGAGAGCTAGCTAGAAAGTAAATGATGGTTATAAAGCTAGGCTTATGGGTGTTAATAATAAAAAAAAAGAGCAGAATTGTAAGCTAAAGTTTTTGCCAACCAATTAAACTTTAATAGCTAGTGACACTTTTATCAATAGTATTAGCTTTTTGTTGGCCAAAGATGTACTCTATTAATATATATTCAACTAATCGCAAAAACTGATTACGTAATTTTATAAGCTTGAAACTTTTTGAAAACGATTTATTAAAACAAGTTTATTTTTTTTCCTTTTGGAAACTTACGCTTAAGTTTTAATCAATAGCTGTAATGACTCAAGTGGTTTGTAACGCTGCGACGTTTTTAGATTAGGGGACTTATTACAAATGAGTTAAAAAGTGATTTTGAAGACAACTGAATTATGGATACATTTGATCTCACAGAAACCAAAGACTTGCTAACTGTCTAATTTGTCTGCTTCGCGACACAACACAGAACATGCAAGACACAGTCGAGACACGTATACTACATACGTAGAACTAGAACCCACACGGCTCTATCTTTTTTTGTTTTGACTGAATTTTAGCATTAAATAAAATGTGGCAAAAAGGCTAGAAGCCATTCGTGTTTACAAAACATGCCCAATAGTTATTACAAAATAGAAGCCCATAGTAGAACCAATCTGAACCTAGCCCTGCCTAGTGGTGGTTATGAGTGATAGGCGGCCCAATTCGCATGAAAGTTTATCACACGGCGCTTTCTTTCACCGTTACAACGACACACTCGGTTAACATTTAACCATAGAAGAATCCGGTTTGATTAAAATTTATTAAACCGACACTAAACCGGTTTTCATATCTCTCCCCATCGTCTCCCTCCCATTGGAGATAATAGGGTTTTATTACAGGGGTTTAACCATTTACAGACACACACACACACACAGAGTGATTATGAACAATCGAAAAGTCGTCATATGAAGAAATCGATTTCAATTTCAATTGCATCGAAAGCTAAGGATCTTCTCAACAGAGGTAATCCTCTAACTACCCTTTTCTTTAACCGTTGCTCTTACACGACACAAACTTTCTCTACTTCCCAGAAATCGAACAAAACTGATCTCACAGACCCAATTAAACTCTTCTGTCGCATGATTCAATCTCGTCCTCTTCCTTCAATCGTCGAATTCAGTAAACCCCTGAGTCAACTCGCTAAAAGTAAGAAGTTCGATCTCGTGATCTCTCTCTTCAACCAGATGGAGACTCTTGGAATCCAACATGATCTCTACACATACAACATCCTCATTAACTGTTTATGTCGATGCTCTCGCTTCTCCATTGCTTTTTCTGTTATCGGGCAGATGATGAAGCTTGGTTACGAGCCAGATGTCGTCACACTCAGCTCTCTGATAAATGGGTTCTGTCAGAAGAACAGAGTTTTTGATGCTATTGATTTAGTTGCTAAAATGGAGACGACGGGGTGTAAACCTGACGTTGTCATCTACAACACGATCATCGACGGGTTTTGTAAGAACAGGTTAGTGAATAACGCTTTGGAACTGTTTGAGCAAATGGATAAGAATGGAGTTAGAGCGGATGTTGTTACTTATAACTCTCTTATTACCGGTCTTTGTAGCTCTGGTAGATGTAATGACGCTGATCTTCTTCTTAGAGATATGGTTATGAGGAATGTTGTCCCCAATGTGGTAACTTTCACTGCGTTGATCGATGCGTCTGTGAAAGAAGGGAACCTTTTTGAGGCTGAGAAGCTCTACGAGGAGATGGTTAATAGGTCTATAGTTCCTGATGTTTTCACTTACAATTCGATGATCAACGGGCTTTGCTTGCACGGTCGCTTAGGCGAGGCTAAACAGATGGTTGATTTGATGGTAGCAAAGGAGTGCTTGCCTGATATAGTGACTTATAACACTCTCATAAATGGGTTTTGCAAGTTTGAGAGAGTAGATGAGGTGATGAAACTCTTTAGCGAGATGTGTGAGAGAGGGTTAGTGCGAGATACAGTGACTTACAACACTATTATCCAGGGCTATTTTCAAGTGGGGAAACCAGATGCTGCTCAAGGGATTTTCAGACGGATGGATTCTCCTCCTAATCTAAGGACCTACAGCATTTTTTTGTATGGTCTTTTTAGTAACGGGAAGGTAGAGAAAGCATTGGTTGTATTCAAGGATATGCAAAAGAGTGGGATGGATCTTGATGTTACTACGTATAATATCATGATTCACATAATGTGCAAGGCTGGTTATGTGGAAGATGCGTGGGACTTGTTTTGTAGTCTTACCTTCTGTGGCGTTGAGCCTGATGTTGTATCGTACACTACCATGATCTCAGGCTTTTATAGGAAACGTCTGTGGCATGAAGCAGATGAGTTGTACAGAAAAATGCATGAAGATGGGTTTCTTCTTCCACAATAGCTGAAACTGTATATTATTTGAATGAAGAAAGAAACATATTCTGTTATTTTTGTATCTATTACGAATTGTAATTTTGTATTATTACAAGAAACAATAACACAAACAAACTGGAACAGATATGTAATAATAACATCTTGGAAACCAGATAAATAAAAACTAAAGTTACTCAGAACATAGATCTCCATGAGTACCACTTGAGTTTAAACTGAAGCCAAAGTGGAGGAACACCTAGAACTCCTCTTTGCCTCCTGGGATCAAACACATCGAAATGTACGGGCACAGGATGAAGCAGAACCGGTTTAGCGACAGTTCATGGGCTTTCAAGAGATGTACATTGGCGACAGATGCAATCTCAAACACTACATTGCATAGCCCTTCTCTTGATTCCATATCCAGAAGAATGCCCTTCTCTTGATTCCATATCCAGAAGAATGTCTGACCGTTCACCTTTTTTATATGGTTTCTGTCTCTTTTAGAAAAAATAAACGAATGCATATCGGTAAACTCCACCAAAAACAGATAAAACCAAAATAAATAAAAAAATCAGTAAACCGGTGAGCTCAATAGGCTAAGCGAAATTGGGCCATATAGCAAGACAAAAAAGATTAATTGGTGAAGTAGCCAAAAACCCTAACAGATCCACTCACACCGTTACTTTTCAATATTAATACAGTTTTGTCCCTTCTTTTAACCGGTGAAACCTGCAGAAAAAAAAATTAAACAATCATTATTAGGTGTAAAGTTGCACTTCGTGCATTATTGTCTTCCACATCTTTCTTTTCACTTATCCCCATTGCCTCACCTCCTTCACCTCAAATCTTCACATCTCCTTCGTGCTTATCAAGTTCGTCCTCTCCTCCGGTGATGAAATCGGCTCCCAATCGATGGTGGTAACTCCCGAAAGGAAACAAAGAGAAACAATATATTGGACGTAAAAAGAATAGCATTTATTATGACATCAAAGGAAACAGAATAAAATGTGATGTTGAATGGAATGATATTCATATGATGTTGTCTATCTATTTTGTTTCGTTCTATTTAGGTTTATAGTCTATATTTGGGTTTAGGGTTTAGTGGTTAGGATTTAGGTTTAGTATTTGGAAGGGGGGGGTTGAGGTTTGGGTTTAGTGACCCTATCATGTATTGTTTCATTTGATGATTAATAAATAGTGTTTAAATTTGTTCACTAATATGTACTATTCTATCTATTTCGTTTCATTCTATTTGGGTTTATGATTTATACTTGGGTTTAGGGTTTAGTGATTATGATTTAGGGTTTAGTATTTGGAAGGTGGGGGTTGAGGTTTGAGTTTAATGACCGTATCATTATCATTTCATTTGATGATTAATAATGAGTGTTCTGTTTTACTCACCAATATGTACTATTCTATGTATTTTTTTCCATTCTATTTGGGTTTAGGGTCTATATTTAGGTATAGGATTTAGTGATTAGGATTTAGGGTTTATTATTTGGAAAGAAGGGGGGGGGGGTTGAGGTTTGGGTTTAGTAATAGTAGCTTAGGGTTTAGTATTCAAAAGTTAAGTCTGGTTTAACATTGGAGGTAAAAAAATAGCATTTATTATGACATTAAATGAAACATAATAAAATGTGATGTTGAATGGAATGATATTCATATGAGTTTAATGACCATATCATGTATCGTTTCATTTGATGATTAATAATGAGTGTTCTGTTTTACTCACCAATATGTACTATTCTATGTATTTTCTTCCATTCTATTTGAGTTTAAGGTCTATATTTAAGTATAGAGTTTAGTGAATAGGATTTAGGGTTTAGTATTTGGAAAGAGGGGGGTTGAGGTTTGGGTTTAGTAATAGTAGCTTAGGGTTTAGTATTTAACTTTGGTTTAGTATTCAAAAGTTAAGTCTGATTTAACATTTATGAAATTGTGTGTTGGGTTTATGAATATGATGTGTTATCTTTTGCTTACGGTTGTTGTAAAGAAGTGGCTCTTTTATTACGGTAGTTGTAAAGAAGTGGCTCTATCTTATTTATTTTGTTCCATTCTATTTGGGTTTAGGGTTTATATTTGGGTTTAGGGTTTATATTTGGATAAGGGTTTAGTGATTAGTGTTTAGAGTTTAGTATCTAGAGATTGGTTTTGGGATATATTTATTATTTAGGGGTTATAGATGAGATTATAATTCTATACTATTTCAATGATATAGAATAGAATGCTCAGGACATATGTACGTGATCAATAAAGGCTTACGTGGATACTTTTATATTTGAGTTTAAGATTTGTATTTAAGTTTAGGGTTTAATATTAAAGGTTTGGAGTGAGATTGGGATAATGTTTAGTATATAGGGGTTGGAGTTTGGGTAATGTTTAGTATTAGAGTATGTGGTGAAGTTAGAAATCTATATTATTTTATGTGGAATAGAACAAACATGCATATATATGTGGCCATAAATGTGTAACGTGGTTCCTTATATTCTCTTAGTTTTGAATTAAATATTAATCATACTTCATTTTGTCTACGTCATCTTACCTTTTATCCTTCACCTACTACTTGTATACGAGAAAGCTAAAACCGGCTAATTTTATGCACAATTGTTAGTTACTTAATTATGTCAAAATCAATGACATACACCTACTTTCTTCTCCAGACATAGCTATCTCGCAAATTATCCCATAGGTTAACTGTAATAAAGAAATTAGAAAAGAAAAAAGAAACCGGTAAGCTCAATAGGCTAATGGTAATAAAGAATTAGTAAACCGGTTTCAGGTGTGTCTTTCGTGACTGACTTTTACTCATAGTAGTTGAGGACAGTCAGACACAACACACAATGTTCATGTGCCTTAGGGTTTGCTTTTGAATTTTACAGAGGGATTGAGATGAAACCACCGAATCAGCTGGAGCTAAATCGAGAAGATGAAGTTCACGTTCGCGTTTGAGTCGACAGGGAAGAGATTTGTGCACATTCTGAAACCTCTCGGAAAAGGTAATCGCGTAACTGCTCCTCCATTGATTGGATGGAATCGAGCCTTTTCTGGTACCAGTTATAATTACAAAAAGAAAAGTAGAGATGGGTTTCTTCAGGGTATTAAGGTAGAGGATGTGGTTGATCTGTTCAATGAGATTGTAAAGTCTCGTCCTTTCCCTTCCAGTATGGAGGTCAGTAATCTGTTGGTTGTAATGGCCAAGTTAAGAAGTATGATGTTGTCATCTCTCTGGGTGAGAAGATGGAGACGCTGGGGATTTCACATAATATCTATACATACAATATTTTGATAAACTGTTTCTGCCGCTCCTCTCAACTCCCTTTGGCGTTAGCTATGTTTGGTAAGATGATGAAACTTGGTTATGAGCCCGATACAGTCACGCTTACTTCGCTTCTCAATGGATACCATCACATTCACAACTCTAATCCATGGACTTTTTCTCAGCAACAAAGCTTCTGAAGCTGTGGCTTTAGTTGACCGGAGGGTTGCCAATGGATGTCAACCAGATCTGTTTACTTATGGTGTTGTAGTCAATGGATTATGTAGAGAGGTGATATTGACTTGGCTTTAGATCTTCTCAAGAAGATGGACAAGAGGAAATTAGAGGCAAATGTTGTGATCTACAGTACAATCATTGATGGTCTATGCAAATACAAACATGTGGATGATGCTCTCAACCTATTCAATGTAATGGAGAACAAAGGGATTAAAGGGAATGTTGTAACTTACAGTGCATTGGTCGATGGCTTTGTTAAAGAGGGAAAGATTTTAGAGGCTGAAAAATTGTACGAGGAGATGATTGCAAGGTCAATAGATCCTAGTATCTCCAGTCTCCACTTACACTTCATTGATCAATGGGTTTTGTATGCAAGATCGCCTAGAGGAAGCTAAGCAAATGCTTACTTTGATGGTTACCAAGGGTTGCCTCCCAGACGTAGTGACTTATACTACTCTCATTAATGGATTTTGTAAGTGTAAAAGAGTAAGAGAGGGCATACAACTATTTCGTGAGATGTCCCAAAGTGGTTTAGTTGGAGACACAGTCACTTACACCACTCTTATCCAAGGTTTTTTCCAAGCTGGGGACTGTGACAATGCTCAAGAAATTTTCAAACAGATGGTTTCTGGTGGTCTGCCTCCCGATATTTGGACCTACAGCATTTTGTTAGATGGACTCTGTAAAAACGGGAAGCTAGATAAAGCATTGGTCATGTTTGAGGATCTTCAACGGAGTGCAACAGAACTCAATATCGTCACACATAATATTGTCATTGAAGGGATGTGTAAAGCTGGCAACGTGGAGGCTGGATGGGATTTCTTTTGTAGCCTCAGCCTCAAAGGAGTGAAGCCTGACGTTGTAACCTACAATACAATGATCTCAGGCTTGTGTAGTAATAGATTAAAGCAAGAAGCTGTTGCCTTGTTTAGTAAAATGAAAGAAGACGGATCTCTCCCAAATGATCGTACGTATAATGCGCTAATCAGGGCACATCTGAGGGATGGTGACAAAGCCGCATCAGCAGAACTGATAAGAGTAATGTGGAGTTGCGGGTTTGCAGGAGATGCTTCAACCTTTGGCTTAGTCACTATTATGTTGCATGATGGGAGATTGGACAAAAGTTTTCTCGACATGCTTTCTGAAACATTTTACAACTAGTTGGTCCACGAGAGAAGACGAGTGATAGAACAACTCTCTTCCCATTAAAGCATCTGTGAGGTAAATTAAATTAGTTAAATTCTGATGTTACATATATTTAGATTTTGTGTATTGGTGGAACTTTTTGTTTGAGCTCCGTGAACAAACACACTTGTGATGAGCATTGTTTTACTTCTGATTTGGTTCTTACCCAGACTTCTTTCGTTTACAACTTTTGTTTTGAGTGATTGTTTTAGACAAATTATAGTTCTGTGTCTCGATAGGATAAAAAAACTTATTAGAACTTGGTTGGTTGCTCGGCCCTGTCTCCGGTATGTTTGAATAATGATTCAGTAGCAATGTGCTTAGATTCAGACATTACGTTTTTGAGGTTCAGTCTCTTGGATAATTCCAAGACTTGTGGAGAAAGTTACAAGTCTTCTGTAGCTCAAATTGTTTGAAACTACTAATTTTTTTTTTGTCTTGTATGTCTTTAAGAGACTCTCACCACTATAAAGAACTAAGAGCATTATTATCCCTAGAAACTCATAAAGTTTCATAATTACACTTTAATGACTATTTAACTAATAAATTTTATCTAAAGGATTTTAGTTAAAAATCACTTAATTTTTGAGCTTCAATGGTAGTTTCTTAATTTGAGTTTCTGAAAAAAGAAAAATTACTTGTTTTTGATTACTTGTGGAGGAGTGCAGATGATTACGTGATCCTGCTTCGTCTTGTGTCATGTTACCTGCATAGAAAACAAGAGTATATATATGAAACAGACGGGAAACTCGTTACCGTTATTTACTGCTCACACATACTTTGGTCAGAAACTGGCAAAGAGATAAAGCTTAATCATTACGTCGTTGTCCTCCACCAACTCAATAAGCTGGGACATCTTCTTCAAACTTAGATCAGCGAGGAACTGAATCTGCAGTTCCCAAGTCCCAACATTAGTTAGTAAATCATCAAGCACAAACACAAAGGAAGATGCGAATAGCAAAACCAGTTTGGACCTTTATGAGTTGGGAGATCAATCCAAGCACCAGATGAGGCTGCAAAAACAAGAAAAGCCTTCAATGGTCACAAATCTTCTAAATTTGTATAAACATATATATTTAAAAAAACAAGCAAGCTAGCAAAGCATATTAGTCCTTCAGCCAGGTCTTGTGTCCCAATATTAATGACACTACAGCCAACCTGCAATCATAGTTTAGATTGCGAACAAAAAGACTGATACAGAGGTCCCTTCTACGAGCTCTATATTGGTCTCCTTGATAAACCATGATTTTGACCCGCTTTTGGTCATATTTTCTATATGTTTTTATTATAATTATCTATGTTTTGGAGTATATTAGGTATGTTTTCAGGTTCAGGAGCATTTTGTGGTAAAGTGATGATTTAGGTGCCTTTTGGTGCTTAAAGAAGAGTTTTCCAAGATGACTACGAAGATCCGATATAAGAGATACATATCGATCGATACACACCATGTGTAATCGATCGATGACGCTTCCGTAGAAGTTGAAGTTGAGATCCTCCATCGATCGATGTACGCAATAAACCATTGATCGATACAGAGCGTGATGAGCAAGATTTATTTGGCCAACTTGAAGCCCAAGTTTTCACCAAAATAACAAGACTGCCCCTGACGAGTTTTTAACCTAATTGTACTCCCTATTTATACCTATGCCTATGAGCCTAAAAATATATGAAGTTTTGAACCAAGTTTTGTATTCTATTTTATACTTAGCAATAAAAGCATTTTCTTTTCTTCTTATTCTTTTGCTATGAATCTCTTGGCTATGTCTGAGTAGATTCATATATTAGATTTGGGGTTCAAATAGTTATGAGGGATTAGCCCCAACTATGGATTGTTGAGTTGTTATATTCATTATCCAAATGAACCCTAATACTTAGTCTAGACTTGTTACCTAGAGTATTGATTATGGAGTGACTAATCTAATAGTCATCTTCCTAAAATCATTTGGCTAAACCCAGACTCTATTAAGGCACGATGCGACAGCCGGTCTGATAGAAATTCTCGGGTGAACAAAGTTCGATCCGATCTGATACTTAATATCGATCGATGCTCTTCTAGAGTTATCGATCAACGACAGCTTATATCGATCGATACTGCGATAGCAACATCGATCTATGCAGTCGGCAATCAGATCAATGGACGAGTCTAACTAGCGACAGCTATAGATTTGTCTAAGGGTTGAAGTTCTCATATATTTGTAAGCAATTCGTTAAGACATCCATAGATTTATAATCCTGATTTTCTGAATAGTAACCTTGAATCTAACTATTTATTTTCATTGTTTTCAAACCCAAGACCTATTCTCTTTAGCAACTTACCATTGCTACTTATTTTATTTACTGTTTTAAACATTTTTCAACCTATCTTAATCACTTAGGATTATATCTTTTGTGTCTCTAGTTCCTTATGGATTCGATCCCTAAGTACTACGATTGAACCTCTTATTTGAGAGAGTAAAATCACTCCTTAGGATAATTTGAGTGATATCAAATTTGGCGCCGTTGCCGGGGAACTAAGATCACAATTAGATTTAATCTGATTCAGTCTAGGTTATTTGTTATTTTATTTTTCTATCTTTTGACACAAAATCTTTTTCTTTTTCTTTTTGTCTCTTTCAGGTACATGCCCAGCAGTACTAGAAGCAACAAGAACAAGCAACTTTTGTACTCAGAAGATCCCAACAACCTAGAGCGTAGCATCCGCAAGGACATACACTCCGCATCGATCGATACCAATACCATCGTATCGACCGATACGCCCTTTCCATCGACGATCAACAACCGTTCGTCAACTGATACCTTCACCACCTCATCGATCGACATCAACAACCGTTCGTCGACCGATACCATTCACTTGACATCGATCGATACACCACACCTGACATCGATCGATACTAACCGGCGAAACATGGTAGCGCCTATGATTCTCTTACCCGATGAGAATGGAGACCTGCGTGATCAAGACGGTCACCTGCGAAATGCAGCAAGTCAGAAGCTGAATGATCAGAAGGAGATCATTACTGAAGAAGAGACTGCACCTACAGACATCATTCAACCTGTAGAAGAGACCAGAACTTTGGCTGACTACAACCGCCCCGATCAGTTCTATTCAAACCGATCAGCCATCCTACCTCCTGCTATCCAGAGAGGAGATTTTGAGCTCAAGCCGCAGTACTACACACTTGTGGGTCAAATCCCTTTTTGTGGTTTGGCCCATGAGCATCCTATGGACCATTTGGAGAGGTTCGAGGATCTTGTCACCCTAGTCAAAGCAAAAAGAGTCCCTCAAGACTATCTTTTCTGCAAGCTTTTCAAGTACTCTCTATCTGGAGAAGCTTTGCAGTGGCTAAGACAACTACCACCAGGTTCCCTTACCACCTGGAATGATATCAAGCACGACTTCCTACGTAATTTCTTTGATGATTCACACGCTGAAGACTGGAGGAAGAAGATTGCTACATTCACCCATGCCCCTGAAGAGTCATTCAAGGATACTTGGAACAGATTCAAGTCCTACCAGCGAGACTGCCCACACCACGGATTCAACCAAGTACAACTGCTTTGCACATTTTATAGATGCATCAGCCCCGATTTCAAGAGAGCCCTTGATACAGCTAGCGATGGCAACTTCACCAACAGGAATCCTCAGAATGCTATCAAACTAATTGACAACTTAGCTTCCAGCAACAGCAAAAGAAACTATATGAAGACTACATCATCCCCTGGTAGGGAGTACGTCAATGAAGTTCAAGCACAGCTAGACAACATTCAGAAGCTCCTAAACAAGCAGACCTGTTAAGTGGAAGATTCATAAATGGTTGAAGAAGACGTCAACTGGATTAGTGGAGCCGGTTTTCAGAGATCTGGTAACCAAGGAGGATTCAGAAACTTCACAAGCCAGAGAAGCAACTATAACCAAAATCCCCAGAAGCCCAACACCTTCAGCAGCAATAATCCTAACAACAATAGAAGCTATGGAAGTGCGTTCTACTCAAATCCACACCCACCCACCCAAGATACTAAACTGGAGGAATTGATAGACAAGATACTTGAGAGTCAGCAGAAGCTCGAGGTAAACTTCAATGGAAAGATCGATTCTGTCTACACCACCTTCATGACGAAGATAGATGCACTCAACACCCATGTGAAGAAGCTAGAGACCCAGGTGTTCCAGACAGGAGAAGCAATTAAGAAGCAGGAGTTTGCCCACACCCAGAACATCAATGCCCTCCTAGATGATGACTTTTGGCAAGAGGTAGTAGAAGAGATTCAGAGATCTGATGATGAGAGTGAAAGAGAATTCGCCTACGACTACTATCGATCGATATCACCAGCTCGACATCGATCGATATCATCTTTAGTTCATCGATCGATTGACTTCGACGAGTGTCGATCGATGAACTCCGACGAAAACCCTCGCGAGTGCAATTCTGTCAAGATTATGTCTCACGCTGAATTCGCCGCACTTCACCCATATCCGCCCAGCCCTGTCATCGATCGATATCCAGACCCTGGCATCGCTCGACACACACCTACCAGTGTCGATCGATATGAAGTACCCCAACGCCGAGTGCCACTTTCCAAAATCGACAGTGCAGGTCTTGACGCTTTCCGGGAGCGATATTACACCACCAGAAACCCTACAGCAGCCCTAAAAGAGAGACCCACAGATATTTTTGAGTCCATGGAGATTAAAATGGAAAATATGGGGAGAGTGCTCCGAAAAAGGAAAGAGAAGATACCTAAACCCTATAAAAGAGAAGGAATTGTCAAGCTTCAGAAAAAGAGTCCTCAGAATACCTAAAGAGAAACCTTTTGAAGAAGCCTACTTTTCACACAGATTGTGGATGTTCTTCAGAGAATCAAAGGAGACAGAAGAAGACATCAGGAGGATGTTTAACCACGTCAGAGATAGCCTCAAGCAGAAGATCACACTGAAGAAGAAGAATGATCCAGGGAAGTTTACAATACCTTGCTCT